GTCCTCAAGCTGTTGCTGAGGGATCAGTTTGTAGACGCCTTGGACAGTCCACAACTAAAGATAGAAGTGAAGCAAGCATACCCATCTACTATGCTGGATGCAATGGCTAGAGCTCTTGAATTAGAATCCTAGGTTAAGTCCAGCACAGAGGTACCGAGGTTGGTACAGTCATCAGGATTCAAGGCCAGAAAAGGGCAGCTTTTAGATAGGTTTGAGGGACTTTGCTGGCACTGTAACAAACCTGGGCACAAGATAGCTCAATGCTGGAAACTTCAACACAGGGAAGATGCCACGGCAGGAAAGGCTGCTACCGAGAAAGGTTGTTGGAACTGTAGAAAGCAAGGACATATAAAGAGCCAGTGTAAGAAGAATACTACCAATAGGTCAGCTTCGGGAAAACAGCAGTGGTTGGTGCTGAGGGACGCCCATTGTGAAAGTCCCAACAGCTAAGTGTAAAATGGCAAGCATACATAGTGTCTACGTGACAGTAAAGCTGGATGGCCAAAGGTGCAACTTTGTCATAGATTCTGCATCTCAGCATACCCTTGTGAGTATCAAGATGCTCGATCACAAAGGAGTACCAGAAGCCATACATAACAATTAAGTGTAATTAACTTCGATAAAATTTCGATTGGAAACAACAATGGCCAAATTCCAGTAAGTGTTGCTGCATCTGTTGATTTTCATGTCACAGCACTTAAGTCAGCTACAATATCCCCTATGTCAGAGAAGATAATTTGTGGTAAAATAACAGAACATCCCCAAGGGAGCCCGATGCTTGTGGAAGCAGTGGACGACCCATCCAGGCCAGCGAATGTGAAGATTGGAATTTTACTTGTGGCAGGTCATCAAGTAGTACCCATAACAGTGACCAATTTCTCTAAATGTGAGCAGACATTTAGGGAAGGGGCATTGTTGGGAGTGTGTCAGGAAGCAGAGCCAGTCAATGTTGAGGCAAGAAATACGACCATAAAAAAGGACGTTCTCTCCCAGAACATTTAACTGACCTCTATAAGAAGAGTATAGTCCATTTGCCATCATCACAGACTCTTCAGGTTAGGAAACTTTTGGCGAATTATGCAGACGTCTTTTCGAAATAAGATCATGACCTTGGCTGTACAGACCTTGTAGAGCACAGAATAAACACAGGCAATCACAGTCCAATAAAGATCCCTTCGAGGAGAATAAGTCCAGCAAAGCGACAAGAGACAGAGAAGGTTATGGATGGCCTAATTAAGGAAGAGATAGTCGAGAAATCAGATAGTCCCTAGTCAGCTCCCATTGTGTTAGTCCAGAAGAAGGATAGGACCCAACGTTGCTGTGTAGACTTCAGGGCTCTTAACAGTATAACTGAAAAGGACTCATACCCACTGCCATGAATTGATGATACTCTCGATGCCCTAAGTGGAGCCAGGTAGTTTTCAACTCTGGACATAAA